CCACTCTGGAGCCCTTCGCCTCGGTGGCTAAAACGATTGTCTAGAATAAAACAAGCTACCAAAAAAACTGCCCAGTCAACTACTATTCAAAGAATTGTCATCCTTGAAGACTTCTGAAGTAGGAGTAACAAAGTTCAGATCTTCTTCACAGCCACTGAAGAAGAGACAGTCTCAAAGTTGATCTTTTTTTTCATTATAAAGATGCCACTCATTCACTGGTTCCTGTGTGAATAAGCTTTACACTTCTGCCTCTTTGAAGGGCTTCAAACATACAGTAAGTCTTTCCCCAAATCATGACACTTACTTTTCAGATGTACATTAAATATTTTTACAATTAGCTAGTTTTGAAAAAAATTAGTAACCTGGGACTAGGAATCCTATAATACTATTATGCATGTATATTGTTCCTGCAGGATTTCACTTTAGGGCTAAGTAAAGAGGATTTGGTCACCCAGATTCTTCTCTTCCATCTCCCATCCACTGAAAGAAAGCTTAGCACCTTAACTCTGAGTTTCACAGGTTTATGAGCTTCATTTTGGAGTAACAACAATGTCCTTTTAACCTAATTTAGCATGTTATTGATATATACTCTCAAATATAACCCCTGAAAGCATTCATTTGAATTGTGACAGGAATTTGGCCCTAAAGGCCTCTCTTTTAACAGCTTTGAAGCCATTCTTCATCCTTGTCAAATTCTGGACATCCTGGACTGGCTGAAAGAGAAGCCCATATGTCTTCCAGGGATCACTTCCATGTCAGCCATGATCACTTTAACATCTCGTAGTGACAGAGCTTCTGTAGTGAATCAAGTCATTACTGACTATAAATCTGTATTTTCATAATAAGTGTGAATACTTTCATGCCAGTTGACATCAAGACCTTCAATTTTAGCTACTTTATTTTCAAATCCTGCTTGATCATAAAAGACTGGAGTAAAACAATAGTCAGAAGTTTCCTTTATGGCAACAGAAGAACTATATAAACCAACATATTTCAGTTAGATTCAGAGTGCATTTAACTACTTGATTTGTTGGTATTTTATGTGAAAACTCCCTTCAAAATAATGCAATGAGAAAACATGTAAAAAAGGCTAGTAAAATTGATTTATGCTTGTGAGGCTACCCCAATCCTTTGGGAATCTGTTATGAAAATGCCGTGGTGACCCACGAGAGACTGACCGCTGATTTCCAAAAAAAGAATTTTACATGAATGGAGCATGCAGGACTTGATTCTCTAACGAAAGAATACCCTGTTACGCATCCTAGAGGAAAAAGATTCACTATCAAATAATATTTGACTAAGTCAGACACGTAGGCATGTAATAACAAGAAAACCACTGTGGCACGAAGTTTTTGTTATCAAGCTAAACAAATGTGAGGATCAGAACAGTGAGGTGATCTGCAAAGGACCTATGATGATTAAAAGTTACAGAATGGCTGAAAATTCAGACAGTAGCTAGAAGTTCTTAAAGTCAGTGACACCAGTTGAGTCTATTAGAGGATTAAGACCATAGCAACAATCGAAGGAGGAAGTAGATCAGAAGTTCATTTAAAAAAAAAAGTCAGGAGAACTTGGATTTGAGATTATGGTCTGGTCTTACTTCTTACCAGAGATTTTATTTTTCATTACGCTCTGCTAGGTTTTATTTCTGCATTAGCATTCAACGTCAGCTTCTTCCACTTTCTTTTTTTGAGTGGGAGGGGAAGCAGAGGACAGTATGTCTAGAAATCACAATGGACAGGCAATTTCATTAACTAAATATTCATGGTGTGGTATGCCTACCTTTACAAAGATAGTAGAGTTGCATTCCTGTAAAGCCTCCATTAAACTAATCACATGCAGGCACACCATTTCCACCATCTTGGGGAAAAAAATCAAGCATAAAAACAAATTAGTGTCCAGTATAACAGTGTTGTAAGCTAAGCCAACAGTCTCTAAAAAGAATCTTCCTGTATCTGCTTGGCAGTTATACTGAATCACTAGACGTGCATTTATTAACCACTGACATACAAGATTAAATATCACATGAGGACATAAGGGATATTTTTCTTTATTTGGTTTTCCCCTGATGCGGCAACACCTATCTGTTAAATATTTTGAAGTGCTTGATGTATTTTAATTCGTATCACACATCAAAACAAGTTGCCTTCAGTTTTGTTCTTTTCAGACATCATAAATCCTTTTACATGCCTTTGCTGTGTAGTTCTCATCAATCAGTGTGTCAGAAATTGATATTTTTATTTACTGAGTCTTTGAAAATTAACATACCCACAAAAAACATCTTTTTTCTCCCCATCAAAAGACAATTTATTGTTCTGAACTGGCAGCTAGTCCATAATTCTTCCATTTTGTACCACGAATTATGACAGATGCAAATATCAGTTACTTGGTAGTAGACAGCATTTTATGTTTTATATTGTGTAAATTCATAGGTACAAGACAAATACCCTGAGCCAGCAGTGAGTATTTACAGTGCCTGTCTGAACTATGTGTAAATTCCCCTTGACAATAATAAACTTAGCTTTTATGTAGTGCTTTTCATCTTCAAAGCGCTTTACAAACACTAAATAATTAACCTCACAACACCCCTGTGAGACAGGCAAGTATTATTATCTGCATTTCACAGAGCAATAGCTGAGGCAGAGTGTTTAATAACTTGCACTAAAGCCACATAATGAGATACTTTCAGAATAAGGATTGGAACTTGGGACTTCCAGGTCATATTCTTGTCCTAAGGCTTGACAAGAAGCCTTTGTGTCTGACTAAGCAACTGGCTATTTAGAAGCATTATGCACATTTCCCATTCATTCAAATGAAGCTTCATGAACTACTGTTGCCGTCAGTGGCTTGTCAACCACAGAGACCTCACTAGATGTCAGAGGCTAAAATATCATTTAAAGACAGCTTTAGGTAGTCCTTGCTTAATATGGACAAGACACAAGGGAATAGCAACTGGTTCAAAGACATTCAAGTGCAGCCCATGCAATTACAATTGAAAGGGCAAAGGTCCATACCTGCCTGGGGTGGAAGATGTTTCACATGGGGAAAGGGGAATTACATAAAATAATTTCCATATAGATAGCAGGTCTCCATTTAAAAAAGAAAAAAAAAAAAAAAACGAAACAAAGAATGAAAATCCCAAACCTTAAAAGCACCTGACTTAAGAGGACTGGGCCATGTATAAAGAATCTTTCTCACTCAAAGCTAATATCAGGTTCTCCAGAGCCAGAGCTACTAGTTACCATCTCAGCTAAAGTTAAAAAGTTTTGACAAGTGGAAAGTGGGAAACACAGTACGTCTTGCCCATCAGAAACAAGCTCTCAACCCTAAGCCTGCAGGCACAGAGAATCATTAGTCAATGGGAAGCAAAGGTAGCACCTATGAGAAGGCTGCTTGAACCCCTCTGGGTTCTTATTGTACAAAGCTGCTCCAACAACAGTGAGTAGTTGAGTTAAAAAAATGCTTAAATGTTATTTCTAAAAAACGGTCTGGATGATTTCTGGACAGAGTGAACATTTCCCTTTCAAACCTTATCTCTAGAGATACCTCCTTCAAATGATTCATTACTCAAAAATGTTTCCAGAGATATTTATTTAGCTTATTTTTGATGAGTAACCAATGGGTTATGAGTAGTCAAATGTCAGCATTTGTGGGTTTTTTTCACCATCACATGGTAAAAAATACTCAAATGGATATTCACAGAATTATCCCAAAACACTTAGTTGCTCCTGTAAGGCAGAGTCAGATGAAACAATAGGACCACTGTGAAGAGCAGGAAGATACATAAATTGAGACCTGATGCAGGGAGCCCTTAATCCAACAAGCAGCGACTCTAGCTCTTGATTCTGTTTCAGGCAGATCCCGGCTAGATCCTGTTTCAGGCCCACTGCGAGGTTAAACCACTACTAATTAGCTTTCCCTTTAATTTCTCAAAAGCATCAAAGTTGCTTTATGACGTTATTCATAGTCTGACGTATTCCACTGAAACAAAGCCAAGCCCTCCGAGTTTAATCTGTACTAAATCTGTACACAGCACCTGACTCACCACTTTGTTATGTGCCATTAGCTGTAGGATGCTAGGTGTCACTCGGCTCCAGAACTCCAGGGCTGTAAGGATTGCTGTAAAGCTAAATTCATTCTGATTCTGGACTGTCGGAGCTACTGCTGTTTGTTCACAATACACTGTCCAGAGCTGAGCAAATATAAATGCATGGAAGAGGGAACACATGTGCAGAACAGATGTCTGTAGAAACAGAAAATAGAGGAAAATGTTTATTTAAATAAGTGTATTGGGATACAGTGCAGAGGCTTTCATCAAAGCACTCCTCTGTCATGCATCCCACTGTGCAATCTTACCCCTCACCTTCCCACATTTCCCCCACATTAGGAACTAGTAAGTCAGGTTCACTTGATAACATCTTCTCCATGTTTAAAAACTGTTTTTATATTTACAGACTAAAAACTGCATTTGCAAACACACACTCCCATGCAATCTTAGTGTATGGCATTAAGGTTAGTCCCTTTAAAGAGAAGGTTAGTTTTGCAGAACAGCTACTCAGAACTAGTTCTGAGACTTTCCTGATGGAAAACTCTACCGCAATCTGTGGAAGGCCTGGAGGCTCTGGCATGTATACTGCGTTTCAAAGATGCTGCTAGGGTAAGTCTTTCAGATTCTGATCACCTGAAATGAAGGCTATCGTACAAAATATATCATCTTATATCTGTTCTGTTAATCTGTCATCTGGGACAGAACTGCTCACAGTCAAGGAAAGTAAGTTTTGAAAAGCTACCACAGAAATTCATTTTGCATACTCAAGCGTGGCTCTTTGCTAATATGTATTACATATGACAGTGTCTGAGCCTTCAGGAATGCTGGACATTAACTACTTAATTGCGAGAAAGATGCTTCTGGTCAGAGATGTTTTCTCAGTTTGCAAGTGCAACAACGATTCATGCTCCGTGGCAGTATGACTGCACCAAACATTGCAATGGTTGCTTGGTAACTGGAAAGAGGTATTTGAAAGAGCAAAAAAAAGGCCGAAGAAATTAATGGAAAGCACCAGTGTCTTGGCCGGGTGAGGGGAAAGGAAGGGGGATTTTACGTACAAGATAAATGTGTGATCATTCTGCTTCTGTTGCTAATAAAAATCTGGCTGGTATCAAAGAGTGCTGCTATATCTGTGTTAAACTACTGTCACAAATGGCTTATGATTTGCAATAACTCTTCTTGTCCAGAGCACCTTGAGAAAAAAAGTTGTGCTTGAACCATCACTGTTGTAATTATCTTTTGATCATAACATTATTTATAGGTTATCCAATGCTACTACACAACTAGAATAAATAACTTCATAGAGATGGTGATTACTAAAACTTCAATTTGGAATTCAGTTTTTTCTTCCTCACTCCTGTGCTGACATATCTTGAAATAGTTGAACCTCAAACTTAATTGTAGTGATTTCATCACCAGTTTTCTATGCATGAAGAGGCAGCTATGCAAGAAAAACTACAGAGATTTCTTTAAAAAAAAATAAGGTTCTACCCCTCCTTTTTTCTTAGGAAGAAATAAATAGTTGTTTGCAATAATAAGGCCAATATATAATGCATCTCCACTTAAAACACAGAATCCCTTACCTTTGATTGCTCTGGAAACCCAATCAGAATAACAATAAGGTGGTCAGCAATTTGTGAACCCGCATCCAGTGGAATAGGCATGCAAGATGATGGAGAATTTGGACAGACAACATTGTGTGTCAGAGACCCCAGAAGTAGCCAGGACAGCAAACGAATGTGTGAGACACATTCTATGAACTCTTTGGGCCTGTCAAGAAAGAGCGGATTTTACAATGCTGCTAAGTTTTCTGGTTTTCCGCAAAATATGAAGTCTCCTCATGCACACTAGGCAGATGCAGTCCCAGTATGCTGGAGGCACAGATCATTGGTACAGCTGATGGGAAGACTAAAACCACGCAGAACTTAGTGGACTTGATGTACCATTAACAAGTCCAACAGAACATATTTGGTGGGTCTAAGAAATAGTCTCTATAAAAGGCTAAAACATTCACAGATTCACTGGTTTCATACACAGTGATTTTTCACACAGAAGTCATCAGATGGGAAGAGTCGCCCAAGTGGAAATGCTCCTCTCAGCTCCCCTGGACAGCACATGGCTGACAGGGGAGTGGCAGGAAATTCTTCATTCCACAGAGAGCTCCCAGGCAGATGCCATGCCTTACTTCCACTGTGTTCCACTTTTCCATCGAGAAAGTGGAGTTAATTTCTCTTTTCCTTGGACATTTGGACTGCATGCTTTTGAGGGCAGGGACTATGCTTTTTTGTGATACTTAAGTATTCATTCACCACCTAGTGCAATGTCTAATTGTAAAGCAATGTGCTTATATAATCTAAAAAGGAATAACACTTTTCTGGTGTCATCTTGTCTGTCCCCTTGCTGCTACCAAGTTCAGATTACATACTCATTTGAATTCACAGGCACAGGAAAAAAAAAATGTTTTTTCGATCAATAAATCACTACTTACTAGGCCACTCTCACTACTTTTTTTAATTTCTAATTTGATGTCATTGACTCATAGCACCAAAGAGGCATTCCATTAATTTTTTTTTAACAGACTCTGATACGATGCTTTTCCTTAAGTACCTATAGGGTCTTAAAGGAATTCACTACCTTCAATTCAGAACACATAGTCCTTTTTTTACATGTAAGAAACTAAAGCACAAGGAGATAACAACTCCGTATTTCCAAAACTAGATATGCTCTACATGAAAGTACATGCAGACGAATCTACAGGACTGGAGCTTAAGCAGCTTAGTCCCCAGAATCCTGGGGCAGGTAGTCTGGGACAAAGCTGGGACATGAATACAGGCTTGTTGAAACACAGTCCAATGGTCTACACTTAAAACATTTGTTTGTTGTCATTGTAAGACAAGGGACAGTATCTCCCTTCTTTTTGTAGATAAAACACTGCAGATTAGGATTTCTCACAGTGAAAAGGAATAAAAAACATGTCTTGAAGAGCAGGATTTCTCTCATCTAACTTTAATCAGATGAAATTAGTATTTTTATCATCATATCAATGGGTTTACACTTACAGTTCTCACTCATTTGTACTCCATAATTTCAAAGGACATTTCCCATTGTATTCTCTGTAATCCCCAGCATATTTTCTATGATTCTAGGACTGATCAAGTACCTGTGTGCTTTTCACTGTCTGTATCTAGATCGAGAATCAAGTTAATTTCCAGGGTACCACCAGTCAAGCCAATGGAGTTACCGCCACTGTCCCTTTAGCATGTACTTTAAATATTGCATTGATGAACTCCTCAGTTAAGAATCAGGGAACTGCTGACCAGACCAGCTGTTTCGATGTCCCACAGCCGCCTTCCCCTACTGCGAGTCTGATCTATGAAATCTGGCAATAAACACAGAATTTTGTGAAGATTTCTAACTCATTTTAGTATTCCTTTTTGTGCAAAAGCATTCTCACCCTTGTTGCATTGCAGAAGGAGGATGGTAAAGCCAAGGCAAATACCGGATCACAGCTTTGTTGTCTCTGTGGTTTCCCCGTGTAATTTCCATAGCAGCAATCTGAGCTAAACCAACTTTCAGATGTCCACCAAACGTGTCTTCATGCAGTGGCTGAGAACAAGTCTTCATGTGACTCTGCAAGGCAAAGATCTGATTTCCTACCTGAAAAGAGTATTTCACTTGAACTAAGTTCTTCCAAGCAACAGCATATTCTATTTCATTTCCCTTCAATTCCTTTCTCAGAGTCTCTAACTGTATCTACAAAACTACAGAACAAGACTCAGAAATAGATCTTAAAAATTTCTCCAGTCCCTACATTAGGAACAGCTTTATGATGCAGATCTTTCCATGGAGGGCCACATTTTCAAGAGCCCACGCAAAATATGAATTGTGCAAAATGTATAGGCACCTTTTGTATCAGCAAACTCAACAGCTGATGAATGCAAACTAATGGTTGCACATCCAGACAGCTTAAGTGAAGATGAAAGAATCTAACCATTTAACAAGATAGCATCTGGGCAGGAAATGCCTTCCCTGTGCACTATTCCATTTATACATACAGAAATAAGCTGTCACTCATTCACCAGCAATATGGCTATGTTGCACTATTCAGCTGCTACAAATGCCTTTAAGCCCTGGAAATAACAGGGCTAAACCTTTTACCAAGAAACATGCAAATATTTATGCCTGGAAAGATAATTTATTATCCTGCTTTGTCAGCTCTAAGGAATGTTTCACTGTTGCTTCTTGAGATACTTCTATATTTCTGATTAAGCTAATTTTGCATTACCTTCTATAACTAGATTAACAGAACACATGCTGAGTGCGTTTGCTTGCTTAAAGGAGAGCCATATGCTTTACACAAGAAAATCCAGGTCATCAGTTATTAAATCATTATAACAGGATAAAAATCAGTGGACCAATAATATTTTATAACAGATAAGTATCTGACCCCTGCAATTTACACTCTCAAAAATCACTTACTTGAAGTCTGTTTCACGAGAAAAAAAAAATAATGTACCAGCATGAATATCTAATGACACTGTTATAGAGCCAGGTAAAAAGATAGACAGGTATGGAGGCACATACATCATACTTCTTCAAAAATGGTGGAATTTTCTAAATGAAACCTTGCTGAGCTTTACGAATTAAAATGTTATTCCAAAGGGAAAAAAAGATAATAAACTGAACAGAAACAATAAACTGGAATGTGATTATCTTGAGAATTAATATTTATACCTTTTTTATAATGCGGTAGTTGCTAATACACAGGACTGAAAATAATTAACCTCTTTCAAAGAAACTATTCTCAGACACGCAAAATAAGACATTGGAAATGAATAAACAACTTGAACTATTTCTGTTCACTGAATTTCTACAGAGAGTAGAAATTTCAAAATTTGAAAGCCAAGATTAAACTTTTGCTGTTGGGATTGTTACGGGCCATATAAATCATACAGTATTCTTTGTGTTAGTTTGGTAGTCCAGATGCTGTTGATAATACATACTCATAGTAAGAAATTGTACAACTGAATAATCTTAGGACTCACTTCCTAGGAACGAACACTTCTGTTAATAAATCCCAAGCAACACAAGTAAATATATTAAATGAGCGTACAAGAATTTGAATCTAGATGTTGTGAATTTGTTTAAAGTTCTGACTATTTGTAAACTTAGAGATGCTTACAAATATTTTCCCAACTATGTTGGAACCACAGAGTAAGTTTATCTTGTCTGATTAAATAAGAACTGCCTTTTGATTTTCCAAAGACAGCCAAAGCTTATTCTTTACAGTACATAAAATTATGGTCATATTTGACTCTCCTATTACGTTAATCTTGTTCTCAGATTCCTGTAATACATGGCTAAATCAAAACAACATGAAATTTTAGACCATTTGTTTGTGATTTAGTTTTAAATAGCCAGACTACACATTTGGGAAGCTTCTCATCTAATTTCAAAATCTAAAAGTGAAGAACTGGGTAAAGTTTTAGTTCATGTCCTACCTACATCCGTGTATAAAAATTTAATGAATAGTCCTACTGAGCATAAGAAATTATCATCTTAAGCATTGTAAGAGCATTTCTAAAAATCAGACTACAGCTCAAGGGAGAAGGGGCAGAAGGAAAAAGTGCAAATGGCAGAGAGCTTTCTACAGAAACATTTCACACAGGAGAGAGGATACCTGCAAGTATATATATATAAATTTTCCCCATTCCTGGTTTCAGATAAGTTCATTGTTTTCTGTAGAACTGGCAAGCCAGGTGTATCTCTCCCTCATTTATGACTCATTTGCCTACCTATTCTGAAAGCAGTTCTGAATTGTAAAAGAAACAGGTGAATAACTTTAAAGTATAGAGGGAGAAGGCAATCCAATTTAGCTGAAAATGATTAATTAGTTTGTGCTTTGAAGTAAATTTCTACGCCAGCACAAAAGGCTGCTTCCCTTATTAGAGTATTTTTTCAAAACTCAATCGGATTCAAGCCATATGGCCAACAGGGTAAGAACTTAACAAAAGGGATATTTTGTCCAGTAAAACAAGCTTACTGTGAGTTTCAAGAGACATGAGTTTCAGCTTAGTTGGGATTCTTCTTCCTTTGTGGTAAGTATTATTAACTTGCAATAAGGTGTCCCCTCTGGAGCATGAGGTGGGATGGAGGGGGCAGGGGGACAGTGAGCAAATGAGTGTGCGAGAAACTAGTAGGGCAAAAGTTCTCATCTCGTTGCTTCATAAACAAACTCCAGTATCGAAATCCACTACATGTTATCATTTATTTTGTCTTGCCTGCCACAGAATGCTTGCATGAACTTGTGGCATGAAACACTCCAGCGCACTTCCAGTAACTTTCAGCAGAGGACTGGTGCAGTAGTAGAGGGGCCCTTTCAGGGAAACATTATACTGATTTAGCAGGAAAACAGACCATCAACACCCTTTATTAGCAGATGCACTCTGTGTTATAGAAGCACAGTAGCTCTTGAGGTTAGAAACAAATGCAAGAGCTTGGTCAAAGAACTTCCTTAGAAGACCACATGCGCCAAAGCCCAGGCATGTAAGTGATGGCAATGTGATTCGTACTAGCCAGAACAGGACAGCACTGTTTTTCTGTATCTGTCAGCTGAGCTTTAGATCACATAAAAGCAGCTTGGCAGCTACTTGACTGTGCCCAGTGATGAAATTACTTCTTTCAGTTGACAAACTTCTGTTGGATCACCGAGTTGCTGGTGTACAAGGACTAAAACTCTACTGCCAGATTTCAGCATTGGCTGCATCTTTGACAGCACAGACTCTCCTCCGTATCTGTAACGGTGCCTCTGCTGCACTCCCACAACATTCGTCTTGCCAGCTTTGCAGAAGTTAGAAGCATCAGGGCCCAGTCACACATCTGCCTCCATTTTATGTGCTGAAGGAAATCCACTCTTGTGCAGGGTACCAGTATGTAGCTCAAAAGACTACGCTCTAACTTACGCTCTAACTTTCCCTGGCATTGAGAAGTGACAGATGGTTCCACTATAAGACAGGTGTTTTCCCTCTACAAAAAGGAGGATTTTAACCACCAAAGTTTCACCTCCAGCTCAGTACTCACTCAGTACTCAGTGTCAGATGGTACAATAAAACTACCTAATGGGATAGTGTTACGCTAAATAGAATAAATATTGCCCCTTCCACAGCATTATGACTGACTATTAGTGATAAATTAGCTGAAATATTACATTAATTCTTCATGTAAGCTATTAACAATAGATGCTACTTAGCTAGCAATTAAAACAGCTACACTTCTATTATTTCCTATTATACAGCAGCAATGTTACTTAGCCTAGTTCTTTTCTAAAACATCTTAAAGAATTTCCATTTTGTAGGAAATTGAATAGATACTGGCTTCCCCCATGAAACAGAAATTCTAGGTTTTGACCAGCTACTTATTACTAGGATGTTTTCAGGAAATTCATTCCTAAATAAAATATTTCATGTTGACAGAAGTATTTTCCTATCACTCCTCTTACAATTTGGCATCAAACTAATGTACAGAAACCAAAAAGCAATTTGGACTACAGAGGTAAGAACTACTCAGTTTTCCCCACCTCAACATAGTATAACCTGACAATGAAAACAACAGCATCCATAAGAAAAAGGACCCTTTTTTTTTAGGTCAATTACTGCATTGTAATAACCTCTGAACTTTCAATTAACTTAAGTGTCTGTTTGTGTATATAAGAGAGACAGGATTCCTCCAGAAGAGTGTAATTAGTTGTACAGGCCAGGAGTTTTATGTTTCCATATATTAAACACAACTACTTCTCCCAGTGATTTTGGTATGACATTAGCTTATCATCATCATTTCAGAAAAATCAAGCCTGCATTTTTATTGTGTGCTCACTGTTTGAATCAGTCTCTATTTCAACACTGCAAAAGACACTTTTTACTGATCCCCCAGAAGTGTCTAATCTATAACAGTACTAACATTTTGTAAAAAAGAAAGAAAAAACCTCAAAGACTTCCAACGTTTCTCCCAGGCACGTTCATTACAGAAAACATACTTTTGTTAAAAAAGCACCTACACTTTAGATCAATGTATGCCCAGAACCAACCTTTAATTTTGTTAAGGTATGCATATCTGCAATGAAATCCAGCACTTCCCCAACATACTGCCTCATGCATTCCATTGCTGCTGTTCCACACTAGAACATAAAAGAAACAAATTTAAATACCAGGTTTTGAACATGTTCATGGTTTTGTCTTTGTTTCTTGTTCACCAGTACATAATTTGTCTGTCTCAAATTCTTTATTTTACTTTTTAATTAAATTACTTTAATTAGGAGTAGGTATCCTTTGATGTTTTTCTTCTCACTGTAATATGCTCTCTTATCTGATGATAAGTATAAAAACATAGCCCAGTCACTGTAGCTTCCTCATGCATCATAAAATACTCCTATCTGTGACAGCAATAAAAGATTAACTGATGAAACTTTCAAGAATATCCTTGTCATGTCATCCTGAAATTTACAGCGGTCCAGAATCAAAGTCTTAAAAAGTCGATGAGAATTTAACAACTCAGTTCTTCAAGCAGCTGAGCATTTCTGCAAGTGGAAACAATCAGCTACAATCCCACAAAATAAAATTCAGTCACAGGCACAGATGCCCTTATGTTCACATTAATCATGATGGAAAAACAGTTTAAATGACTGGCCTCAGGTATTTTATGTGTAAACATCACTAAAATGAACATCACTGAAATTTAAGTATTACTTTCTCTTTCTTTTTTTTTTAAACTAACAAATGTTTCCGTGATATTCCTAAGGCAAAATCATTCAAAATAGAGCATTCTGATGGCCCTTAAGCTAGTTGCAATTTTCAAAACAGGAGACAAGGACTATAAGGGATAATGAAATCCTTCATGAACTGCTCCAGTTTGACCATAAAGGTGTAAGCATTGAGAAGCGACCTGTGCCAGAGCAAGAATGACCTCAAAGGAAAAACAAAAGGACTCAATGTGGTGCTTGTTGTACTCCCACAGTACAAATTTTCATAATCCTTTTCCTAGAACACAGTGAGAAATACAAATCTGGCCTTTGGCTAGTACAAGACGTGCACCAAGGTATGCAAAGCAGTCGACAGAACAAAGCTATCAGATTAAATAAAGGCTTCAAACAGACCAGAGAACCCTGGAGAGAAGCTTTCAGAAGGTGATACGACTGACCCACTAGGTATCATATAAACTTCTGTTTACATGTTAATAGTCTGAGGTGAAGATAATGCTAGCTGAATTCAAGGGGAACTATGAATGCCTCATTCTTACGGGCCAAGTAAAAGCAATGTCTAACTTTTGAGGCTAAATGATGAAATTATCAAATTAGGTATCTTTTTGAAGTCGCCAAAAACTAGTGTATTCAAAGTCACAGGTTCAGGGAAAACATTGCACTACAGTTTACAGGGGAAAACTACTCTTCTCTGACCTCTATTTAACTACCCACACTTTGAAGCACAGAAGCTGATTACCCTATCTGAATATACAAATGAACCAGAATTAGTTTTGATCACAAAATTATTAAGCCATAATTGAGTTTTAGTGGCTGAAATCTGAAAAACTGCTAGCATTCTATTTTTAAGCAACTGTCCTGGGTGCTTCTCATTTTTGTATGTTAATATCAATCCACATAGTGTTGAACTACATCACCTTCTGGTTTTTCAAATGCTATGCCTGTCAGTTCCCTTGACAGAATAACAAACAGTAAAACAAGGTCACTGGCAGCCCTGTCAGTATATCCTCCATCCAGTTTATGTGGACTAAGGATTCCCACATGGGTTCTAAAATATTGAATAATACAATTATAAAAGATACTATACTCAGACCTCTGAAAATAATGCTCAGTTGCAAAAGACTTCTCTCCAACCATCTATTCTGTTTCATTCAAGCAGCCGGCAGCCTGATTCTCTATGATTTCTTCTGAAATGATTGCTTTCCTATCACACCTTATAACACCAATGTTAGTCTATCTATTTAAAGCAAGTATAAATTAAAATATTCTGTGGGGAGGAAAGATGTTATTAAAGATTTGCATTACAAAAATCACACACTTCAGAAGATATATGGGAAAGATCCTACTAGGTCACCCCTAAAGCTGACAGACACACATATATAGGGAAACGAGTTTTCCTCAGCTTGTGAAGCGGACCTGGGCTAACCCTCATCCATCTGTTCGCGTACTCAAGTCACATGTGTAATGGAACAAGTCAAGACCTCCAATTATGCTACTTCCTTGCATATTCACAAGGTGCACATTCAGCACCTAGGCAATTATGACTACTGGTAATTTAGCTACACTCATCAGCAGGATATAGATGAATGCCGACATTACCAGAAAAATACCATTAACTCCCTTCTTTAACCAGACAATCTTTTGTGAGAATGGAGGCAATGGCTTGTAGCTTTCCTCCCTGCTACCATTTTTTGAGGCATTCAGCTGGTCTGTTCCCCACATGTTGTCTTCGTGAGCACAGGCTCCAGCTAAAGTCAGTTACATGACTAAAGATTATCAGTGAAAGTAAGGGAAGCAACATCAGGTTCAGAACTTTTCCAACATTAATAAAAAGAAAGAAGGACCTCAACCTCTGCCTGCAATACACCTTGCCAACCAGAAGAGAAATGAAAAGGAAAGAACATTAAAATGAAGCAAAACATGCTGAGTAAGTTACATTTTTTAAAAACCAAAACTAAAAGATGGAGTTTGATTCAGTACTTACTCCAGGCATAGAGGCAATCATCTGTTTATGCAAGATTGTTGACTCAGCTAATTTTGTTCCAGCATCTGCACAAACAAACTAAGAAGAAATTAAAGACACGTTATTTTTTAATTATTTTTGGAGGAACCTGAAATAATGAAGTTATTCATGACTTTATTAAAATCGGTTCGGATCTCTTCTTGCTTTTATTCATGGTAATTTGCCTTTAGGGCTCTCTTTCTTTATAAACAACCTAGTTAACTCACCATTATAAATGAGCTAATTTTAATGAAAAAAATTTTACTTTAATGTGCTTAATTAACACATATATGTTGTGCAGGAGCAATTTGAACAATGTTATATAATAAATCAGACTTTCTTTATGAGCAAAAATATTTATCTTTGCTATTCCTTGCATACATCAAGTGTTCATCTTTCTTTATAGAGTAAATCATGACAGAGGATGATAAGGCCGCATGCCACGTTCTTCACTGTGATATTACAACACTTTCACTGAAGTTGTACAGTGATGAATTACATGAAAAATTTTGAAGTTCAGAACATACTGGTATGGTGGGCTATAACTTCTGCATAAAACAGGCCACAATACTACAAAAATACAAGCTGTTTCAGAGAGGTCAGTATCATTCTGTTATAGCAGAATATCTCTAATTGCTTTTGTTATGCTTTTATTTTCCTTGCTTTTTTTTTTTTGCTTCTTTTTATTTCCAAATTCCTTGACCCAAAATCTCTGATGTCCACATCATTCATACATTAGACCTGCTAATACTGTTATTTAATTATTATAAGCTCCAATAATGCATTGAACACCCTGCAGATGATTTGCTTGTTCCTAAAACTTGTTGTCCTAATACTGTATTTGCACTTGAGCAATTTCTGTCCATAGGGATGCAATGTAACTTTCTAAGAAAAAGCAGACAGAAAAGAACTGTGAAACTAAGGTCTAAGCTTTAATTGTCTTTCTTGAAAATGAATAGCATGGTATCTTCACAAACTGAGACAGGTATTGACTACACAATATGTTTTACAATTGTCTGCTGCGTGTGTGTTAGCAGTATTCTCAATGACTTACCGGTCTTCTTGAAAATATTTCCAAATATCTTTTACAGACCTTTTTACTTACTCTTACACTTCCACAAGCTTTACCTTTCAATGACAGATTTAATCTGAACTCAGACTGCCTACCAAGACTTGGAAACTACTCAACCTATGTCTTGACGAAGAATCTGTTCTTTGGGATAAATAACCAGGAAGACATGTCTGAGTTTAGATTAATAATCTAATTAGGTATCCTCAGACATAGGCCTGGCTCCAGTTGACTCTTCTTCTGGTTAGAACTTATTTTACACCAGAATAAGCCAAATGGAAATAAAACAGGAATCTAACTCATATTTCAGTTGAGAAATAGCCTGGTGCTTTTCTATACCACAGCTCTAATAATTACATGGGAAGCAAAAGAAAGCCTTAGGGTTATGGGCTGTATCAATCCAGTAAAGACAGATGAGTCTTAGTTCAAACAGCAACCATGACTCTCCACTTCTCTTTTAAAAGAAGGACCATTAATGGACTTAGGCAACTAGATGACAGATTTTCTCCTAATGCACCCTCTCTAAGAAAGAGCAACGCTGACGCTGGGTCCACTGGACAACAGGTATGTTGTCTTCCTGTATGAAGGATTTCTCAGTCAACCATTTGTGTAGATTAGGGTTCCTTTGTACTACATGAGCTGCAAAAAAGGACCATAATTCACTGTAGAATTTGGCTGAGTAGATTTAGCATCCAACAGTGAGTTCAGTGCACTGCTACGTACATTGTACAGCACTCACCATATAAGTCAACAAAAAACCTTTGCCAAAGACAAATGTCATTTATTTCAGACAACATCTTTTAAGAACAATAATAAAAAGCAGCAGCCAAAGCAACCTCTACTGGCCTCCTGAAAGCTTTCTACATCTTTTGCACAGAGGAGTTTGGGTTAAATAAGAGATATTAATTTATATGTGAAAAACAGGTGACAAACTCCATTCTGTTTCTAATGAATAATTAGGCCTTGTTTAGCTTATCTTTCTCACCATCAAACTGCCAGTTCCAAGGATCCTTCCTAAAGTTGCAATGCAGTCAAAAAAGGATGAGGAAACCAAACTCAAAATGAAAAATTTCTTACATTTCCAGTCCAATTCACCGTCATTTATGTTGTCTCCCTCTACAAATACTATAATACATTAAGATGTCACTGGCAGGAAATTTAATGCCAGCCATATGTAAAGAAAAAAGGAAAGAAAAATACCCCCACACTGCAAAAAGATGAGAAATGGGCAAATAATCTCCATGCCTCTTACTAGCATTGTCTGCTGAGATACAGCTGCAGAATAATGTCTAAATGAGAACGTCTGCTGATGTAGTGAATTACCATAATCTATCTATATTATACTGCCATTCATAATCAGAGTTTTTAAAATACATATTCTTATAAACGTATTATATGTAACTTTAAATCCTTCCATTCAGTAATTAATAGACCAGATCTTCACAGACACATAAACTGGAACCACTAGATATACATTGATTTACATTATCTGAAGGTCTGGCGCAAAATAGGAGTCACCTAAACAAAACAGATACACTGAACCTTCGAGCCTGACTGAACAAGCAAATCCTAATGAGACACTAATATAATTCGAAGTCAATGGAAATCCTGAAGATGTGTGCTGGTGAAATGTGAGCGGAGAAAAGTACCAGGAAGCAAAATGCTGGGTGAAGAAGCAATTCCTACGGAAACCCATGGAACAGCAGCATGTACATGATGGCTTTCATTTGCTAGGACAAATCAAGGAGACAGACTTTCCGTACCCTTTATCATCAGGACACCTATGCAATGATTGGGGTGATCTGGTTAAAATTCTCATTCTTTGTAAAGTGGGATAAAGTTAACTCTCATATTAGCACTGATGTCACCAGTGACACTGATGGCACCATGTAATCTGGATGAATGTGGGTGTCAAACGTACATTCTTAGGAATCCCTTTGTTAAGTCAGCCCACGACTGATCTATCATTAAATTAAAGTGCTCCTAGCTCCTTTGTTATCTCGAACATTTTGACTGAATCTCTGTACACTGTGTGCACTGTCTGTATAGAATCTTGTATACAGGCTAATGTCCATGGAGACATGACTGTCTTGGAAATTAAAACCATTTCCATTTTGTGCTGTGTTAACCCTGCCACAGCTTTATGGATTCAAAACCATACAATTTGAATTAATATTGCAGTGGCTTTGTGTGGTAAAGAGGTGAACCAATCCCTTCGTTCTATTAATGACATTAAAAAATTAAAATAATCAGATATGTGTTTTTACTAGTAGGTTTTTCAAATTACAACGGTGCTTAAGATGGGCTTAGTGGTTACTATGGTACTTAAATAAGAGGCTGTTGAATGATTCAGACCACATACTACCAAGGGCTGCCAATTTGCACAGTCAATGGGAGAAGCAGTCATCATGCTTCCAGTAGGCATCTATGGCAGATGGTCTGAATACAACCCCTATTCTTTACCATTGACTGCATAAAAACAGAAGCTGGCTGCTTTGGATAGCAGGAAATATGAATCACTTCATCAGCCACTGAAAGAGAGACATCATAAAAGACATTTATATCCACATTGGGTGCTGTTGTGTAAGGTATGAATACATCCCAAAGTGAATACAGCATATGGGAACAGTGCTAGGAGGAAAACCCAGGCAATTATCATTTTATCTTTACGAGATAAAGATAATGTAAGAGAGAGTTTTGCTTACTGTGTCTATCAGGCAATAGACTCAATGTGAAGGACAAGTGTTTACCAGTTAAATCCCACTGCCAAAACTGACGTGGCATGTTTGCATTCTCACATGAGGAATTCAGGATTGACTAGACTGTGGGATTGTCACCCTTTGGGGTAGCCATAGGACTGAGCTATACAATGGAGCAATGCAGAAAAATTGCTTTATTCTGTAATACAGGAAAAGTCAGTTCAAGTCAACGAACACAAAATGCACATGGTATCAAGCTGTACCACTGCACCCGTAAGACAGAAAGAGGTTGGTGGTTGTTAAGTTATTTGATGGTCTTGGCTGGAACCAAAAAAAGAAGTCTGGGCTTAAAAAAAAAAAAAAGGAGACAAATTTCTGCTTTTTAAATTAAAATGGATTAAAAAAAATAACACTTTGCCATCAAAAGAAAAAATCCCAAGTGTTATTCTTCCCCACCTCAACTTCTTCCCCTAACACTGATCGCATAATAATTGTTTTCAGAGTTATCCTAACTGCTATATAATTTCATTTGTCAGTATTATTTCTCTGTCAACTGGCAACCACTTATTTATTATGAGTAATGTACCAGTACTCAAAAGAAAATGAGCCCATAGTAAGCTGTATGAAGCTTTGACCCCATAATGGGAGGGGAAGGAGTGAATGGAGCTGTGATGCTTGGAGCATTAGGAATGATCTACATAACAAACATCTTGCTTGAACCTTATGGAGTGCTGTTATGCTGGTCCCCTATCATTTAAAGTTACTAAACGCATATAATGGTTAGCTCATTGTAAACAATGAGAGCCCACTACCTGTGATTAAAATTCATGGCCTTCAGTAAATTGTTTCTGCGTGACAGGCTTTTGGTGCCAAACAGCGCCAAGTTGGCATTTTGGAGGCAGAAAGATTTTTCACAAGTTTGTATCTTACTTCCTCAGATTTTCCTATGAAAAAGCTAGCTTAACTCCTACCTCAGCAATCCACAGAATGAAAGGAACAGAAATATTGTCTATGTATTCTTTGCTGGAAAATTCCATGTTAAAAGAGAACGGCCTTCAGGGACTGGAGACAGCTTACTGCCTGCCTGAATAGACAGAAACTGAGTTCTGGCCCATGATCAACTAGCAGCCCTTCCTGCACAAACTGCTCACTGGTTTTGAGGCTATGATATGAAGACAAGGCAGCAGTTGGGGCAGCTGCCCCATTGGGACGTGGTATGAAGTTCAATGGACGCAATCCTTAAGGGTCCCTTCCAACTCGAGATATATTCTATGATCCTCAATACATCAGCAATGATGCAGAGGTCATTATCATCCTGACAAACGTGGATTCCCAATTTAGTTTCTTAAATTTTAGTGTGGGAGTCTAAATGTATGCACCTACAAATGTATAAATGTAACTGGACTTTGATTCAAAAAATTCTTGCTTCCCTGACATTGCTGGCACTTTCTGCAACCATGTTGGACTTGCTTCCCCTCCCCCCTGTGTTCTGCCCCCCAAATTTGGGCCGAGACAGGATCAATATGAGAATTACATGAGAATCTCCTGTACCTGCACCAACAGCAGCAAATTCATGTCTGGTAAGGGTGACTTTAACTTGAGTGCCTGCAGTAACTCCAATATGACACTCCGCGTCAAGTAGAATTTGTCCCTTTCCTACAACAGAAAAACACAGAATTATGAATGTCCTGAAATTCACTGACACCGACTAGTAAACCATAAAGATACTTTTTATCTAAGTTTGAGAATAAAAAAGTTACAAAAGTGTACTGGTTTCTCCTGTCTCACAAAAAAGCAGACATCCTTCATCATTTATGTAATTCTACAGACTGGATTGAACAGACATCAATGAGGGTGATTCTCCTTTGATGTTGTATCAGGCACTATATCCAAGATTTCAATATTTCACACGTGAAATATAGATAGATTTTATAAAACAGTTATAAAGCCCAGGCATACAGCATAGCTTTCACTAAGTAGTTCCATATAAAGGGATAAGGGGAAAGCAGTAAGGATTGACACAGAAGAACAAAACTGGCAATAGTATTTAGCATTATTCTTTCAATAAACCTGCCAGAAATGGTCTACATTTTACCATACTTTTTTTCAGTTGTCATTGGCCTTAAAATAAGGGTGCCTGCACTAAGGCAGCCTGGACATCTATTTTCATTCATTAGACTAGCAGTACTTTTCCACTTACACAGTAAAAACTATCTTGGCTACGGCTGCTGCAACAGAAACATTTTAAAACATAGGGGAAAATTGGCCAATGGAGATTAGAACACAGAAGCCTAAGAATAGAATTGTAGAGCTGAGACAGCAAGGAGGTACAAGAGATAAGACGAGCCTGTTATACATCTTACTTTGACATTCTCTGACTTTAGACGATAAGATAAAAATGTGGAACAAATCTATAACCTGCTACTGACCACAGCAACTCAAGAATTTTGATCA